AGAGTATATTCTGAACAAGGCTTTACAGAAGAAACCAGATTTTTTAAAATTAATCTTAACTACTTCTTGTAGGTTCATCTGGCACTATTATGCAGCTATGGGGAAAAGAATACAAATGGTGATGCAGACTTGGTTGGAGAACAGACTGGAAAATTGGTGCACATCAACATAAATCCAGTGCTTTAGAGATATAGTGTAATCACAGCAGAGCAGAGATGAGTGAGGTGTAACCACCCAACTCTTTGCTTAGCACTCTGGACAATTTTGTGTACCATGTCGAGTGCCACACTGCCATACTATGGCAACTGGAACCAGTGGTAGCTAAAATTGGGCTCGAGCAGGCATATCCACATCAGCTCTAATCACACCTGAATTGCGGCGCTGACACACAGTTTATAAACAGAGGAGAGTGCACAGTGCTAATGAACCACAAACCTGATCAAGTACTTTGAAACTCATTTTCCTTGTCTCACTAACTGAGCATAACAACATTTTGGAAATAGCAACAACTGTTTAAAAAAAACATATTTTTTGCTCAGACAAAACATGGTCACTGCCCACTCTTGTACATACAGTTGTGCCTTGCTGTATGGATTGTGCATTTGCAAATTTTGCAAATCTCTAAACCTCTGAGCTGTAGGTATGTTTTTTAAAAGTGCACAGATGTGTCTTTAGAACTGCATAAAGTGATTGGTCCTTTAAGAGCAGAAACTGTATCATTGGTTTAAGCCGCCCTAAAATAGCAGAAGTCTAAAATAACAGAACAGCTGGTATCGAAAACTAATAAACTTAACTGCAAATAAACCTTTGTAGTTGAACAGTAGAGCACAGATTATTATGTTATTGACCAGTCTAATCCCCTTTTCTTTTTTTCATTTGTTCTGTCAGCACCATTGTTCTCAAAGAATCTCTGTTCAAACTCTCTCAAGATTTACCAGTGGCACTTAAAAGCCAACCACCACACAAAGCAAGTGCCATCAGAGATGAAAGATTCCATGTTTTGATCATAATAAAACAGTCAGTGGCTGTTAGTTGGTTTTTCTCAATTGGAGATTTTAGTCTGATGGCTTCTGACTGACATAGGGTTGAAATTAATTCGTGGTATTTCCATGGCTCATCTGAACCTGCCACATCTCATTAGCATACTGTCATATCTCTGTAAATTCTGTGAGGTTGAAGACAAAAGGAAACAAGAAGAATGAGTTTTCTCCTCAAATAACCAAGCTCGAGGTGAAAAAGCCACCAAAATTTCTAATCACAGTGGGCATTAGTTTTAATTAGCAACTTTCTGCATTACAGTTTAGTATAAAAAGGAGACAGTTTTTTGTCTCCTTTGTTTTTTTTACAAAGAGAAAATCTTACCTTTATAGTTAATGTATCCAGCTATGGATGCTCGAAATAAAGCTTTGTGTGTGTCTCAACATTCCTTGCACAACACTTTTCCAGCTCATGGTTGGTCAGCTCTGACCCCTTCACACAAGCTATTCTTTAACTGGATTTAACTATTTTGGAGACTACTTAGTATTTACCATGTACTCAAAAATGCATTTCAAAGTAGCTTTCAATGCTCTTTTTATTATGTCTTCTCTGTCAGGCTCAATGGGACAGAACAAGGGTGATTTGCACATGCAATATAATAGAAATATTTGGGGGTTTTGGTTATATCAGGTAAGTGAAATGCAGTATGAAATAAAGAAGTTCATCTGAATAGTTAAATTCAGCATTCTCCTTTCCAACATTTCATGAGTAGCGTCCTGTGGAATTATAATTTTTTTCACCTATTTTGAAGTTCTTAGACTCCTAACTTTAAAACATTTCTTGACTTCTAAGAAAACTGCTGGGCTTAAGTATGCTACTTAAAGCCTTTAATTTTTCCTAATTTTTCCTGTGCTAAATTCTGATAATGATTGTCTGAAAAGCATACACAAAAGCTAGACAGATGTGCTAAACATATGGTTATCAAGGGAGCTATTTACACAGCAATAATTATCATGTGAGCTTAGAATTTTAGTTCCACATCCTTTTTTGTCTTGATTCATTAGTTTTGATGACAGATCTGGGTATGAATTATCATATCAGTTAAATGCCTACAAAGTTTTCAAATAACAGTTATACCCAAATATCATTAATAATGTCAAAGAATTTGCTACATCACTAACCAGTTTCTCTAAAATGGAAATAAATTTATGGAGTTATCCATTTGCTGGTGTCTATTCTATACGCTTGTTTAAGCCTACACAAATTGATACTTTCATTATTATAGCATTTCAAAACCTAACTGAGATAGAGAATTCTCATTTGCTAAGTGTAGAAACATGTTATAAGAGCTCTACATGCATATACACATAACGGTCTTCAGTGCATAATGCCAATATCACCTAGTTCGTGGCAAAACACGTGCCAGCCTTTCTCCAGCTCAAGCCAAGGACTGTCAAGCTGCCATAGCAGACTCCCATAATGGTTTCTATTCCTACAGCCTTGGGCTTATAGACACACATACAAGCTGTTCTGCCCTCCATTTCTGAAGTAATTACTTTCACTTAATTAGTGTAATTACAGCTTCAAAGACTCACACCTCCACCTTATAATTCTAGGGCTAGCCTACATGTGGCTAAGCCCAAATACATATTCTGTGGGAAGCAGGTGGCCTGATTCTCCAACTATTCACAGGTATTTCTGCTGAAAGAACTCATGGTAAGCTGCACTGTCACCTGCTCTTGCATCAGGGTGAATCTCAACATTTCTATACATAATGCTGCATGTTCCATTTTAATACGAAAACACACAGGATTACAGGTTCTCTCATCTAACTCCATGGAAATTTGGTGAAACTGGCTGAGAAAATAAACCAAAATGTTGCAGGGTTTTAATCCAACAAAACTGCTGCTCTGCATCTTCTGCTGTAATTTGGAAGCATCATGCTCCCGTTCTCTTCTATAGGTCAATAAACAAAGGGAATGGGGGAACAGTACAACCAAATTACATCTCATATGAAAGATCACAACTGCAATACATTTCAGTGTTGCCTGAAAACTGCAATGTCTACGGATCATTTACTTTCTCTTTTCATCAGTCCTTTTCAATATACTGTTAGTTTCATTAAACCCTGAAAATATGTTGAAAAACAATAATACAATTTCATGTATCACTGTGCCAATGCAAATCTGTAGTGGAAAGGCTGGGAGAGGATTTATTAAGTACACATACAGTGCTGGTATCGGCTAATATATAACAATTAAATAGCAGTCAATGAAAGACTTGACAGCCAATTTATCATAAATAGTTGCTCTTTTTTAGGGAACATGTTTCCTTTATATGTATAATGTAGAGACCTTGAAACAATTAGGTAGCATTGTAATTCTTTTTTGCTATTGTTGAATGAGGATTTTTTGTGTCTGGGATTTTTTTGGTAAAAATATACAGTGATTTTAATGAAGTACACAGTGAAACTAATACATTGAGCTGATCCTTTTATAGTGATAGAAATACACTCAGGCTGAGTAAAAGCAATATAACCTCATTTTAAACTAGTAGCAAAGACTCTGTTGGATTGGTTTTAATTTAAAGTCCATTTTTGCAATCTGTGGACTATTGTCACAGAAAGTAAACATGCCTGTCACTAGAAGTAGGCAAGTATTTTTCTGTTCAGAAGAATGATGCTGTACAGAAATTTCCTTATTAGATGAACTTAAGTGTATGATGTTGAAAGTTGTTTGTACTTAATACATTTGCTAGTCACCTGTAGGGATTTTGTTTCAATAAATCTTAACTGTTATTTTTAAGTGGAATATAAATGGCATTAATACATTTTTTAAATCATATTTCTTACTTAAAAAAACAACCAAACAAAAAACCCAAACAAGCAGGTAAACCCAAGTCTCCATGAAAAAAAGCTAATTTTTGCTCCTTGAGACAAATCAAAGGAATGTCTTTGGGAGGAGTTAATAATTATCATAAGCGATCTACCTAGAATCCAAAACTAATTTAGAAATCTTCATTGAGAGAACAGAAATATTTTTCATTTTACTATGAAGTGATATCATTTATCAGAAAAAAAGGTACAATATCAATTAAACTGAATTTAACTCTAACTACAGTAATTTTTAACTGCTTTAGTTAATTATTAAATGGCAGCAGAATTCACAAGACCCATTGTTGCGGTAACCTGTACTACTTGCCCTTGGGCAAAACTGCTGGGATAACAATAGCCAGTAAGGTAGAAAAGCAAGCATACACTGTCTGTGTGAATAAAGACCATCTGTGAAGGTATTCACCCAAAACCGATAAAGATGACGACCACCATAAAAGAAATTAAACAGTAGCCAGTGAACTGCAAAGACAGCTTCCAAAGAAAAGAGAAGTCAGCTTGAAAAGAAGTATAAAAATAGGATGAAAAATTGTAATAGTGGGGAGAGATTATGGAGTGGAAAGAGCACCAGCCAAAAGCTGTTTTTGACATGCCACCAGCCATCTTGCTGGTGCCACAACCACTGCACAGACCAGACAGAGCATCGTCCCCTCTAGATGCTGCAAATAGCCTGCATCCAGCTGGTGGGCTGACAGTTTGGGGTGCTACAAGGAGGGCTGATTTCTCACGGCACATGTAGTAACAGATTGTAGGCAGCAGAATGTGCACACATAAAGCTGGAGCAGCCATGTCTCCAAACTTGCTTTCCTGTAAGGGGGAACCTGCTTATACCTCACATGTCCTCTGGGAGAGGGAGTGCACGTGTGTTTCTCTGCATGGGGAAGGACTGGAACTTCTGGGAACTAGAAATTTGTACCCATTTATTAACATTTTGTATTTTGATTCATCTGTTGTATTGATGCTACTGATCCTGCATATTTACTTCACTGATTGTCAGTTAATTACATGCTATTAATAAATCAGTATACTGCTTCAATACTGTAAACTGAGCAGTTTTTCCCCCTGAAAATCCATACGTGGCTAAACTCACACAGTCCAAAAAAGATTCAAGTACTTCAAAAATTGTACTCACGTAGTATGATCAATTAATGGGCAGTGTTTTTCTTCCCCAGGGTAGAGATTTGCCCCTCTTCCAAGTTCCCACCTGAATATGTTCATGGTATGGATGGAATCATTTCCTGACATCTTTTCCAAGGCTGGTTGATACCATCCACACTGGTTTTTATCTTCAAAGTTGCAGACTTCCATAACTTTAGAGATGAACAGTGAATATTTCATGTTTATATAAGAATCGGAAATCATTAATTGATGTTATGACAAAGTAAACAACATGGCAATAAAAACGATTCAATTTATAATCTCCATAAATACTTACACAGTACTAACGTGCATAGTTTTTCATCTATAGATAAAATATCAATTGTATTTTCTACTTTCTTTTCTATTAGGCAGATTTTAATTTTGGGAATAGACCAATTCTTTTGCACCTCAGTATCTACCTTCATATGTGTTCTGGCCAGCTGTCAGACCATTCTAATAATCTGTTGTGTGATACACACTGAAATGCATGCAAAATTCATCAGCTATGAATCTGCCAACTGCTGCATGGTTCTTTCTTCAGTCCTGTAGACCAATGACATTAGCAACTCATTGCACATTGTGTACAAAGTTGTCCTGTTTCGGCTGGGATAGAGTTAATTTTCTTCCTAGTATCAGGCATAGTGCTGTGGTTTGGATTTAGTAGGAGAAGAATGTTGATAACACACTGATGTTTTAGTTGTTGCTAAGTACTGCTTATGTTAGTCAAAGACTTTTCAGCTTCCCATGCTCTGCCAGGTGAACAAGAAACTGGGAGGGGGCACAGCCAGGATAGTTGATCCAAACTACCCAAAGGGCTATTCCATACCATATGACGTCATGCTTAGTATATAAACTGGGGGGTGGTGGCTGGGGAGCAGCGATCGCTGCTCAGGAACTGCCTGGGTATCAGTCGGTGGGTGGTGAGCAATTGCGTTGTGCATCACTTGCTTTGGATATTATTATTGTTATTATCATTATTATATTGTTATTATTATCATTACTATTTTACTTTATTTCAATTATTAAACTGTCATTATCTCAACCCAGGAGTGTTTTTCACTCTTACTCCTCCGATTCTCTCCCCCATCCCACTGGGGTAGGGGGAGTGAGTGAGCGGCTGCGTGGTGCTTAGTTGCTGGCTGGGGCTAAAACACGCCAAAAAGTCCATGACGAAAACTCTGAAGAATCAAATCTATATTTCAAGCAGTCCCCACCATACCTGAAAGCCACATAATAATGCAGCTATTTGGTATTGGTGTCAAATACTGAATTTTTATCTTACTAAATAAATATGTACTTGCCTGTGCCTCAGTTTTTGATTCCTGAGCAACTGAACAAGAAAAGTGAGCTCACTACCATCCAACCCTCACAATGCATTCCCCTGTAAGAATATTTAGGGGAAAGAAACCAACTTATTTTCCATTTCTGCTATGAATATTTATTCTCCAGTACATCTTCCTGAATATTTGGCAGAAACATTGTCTAGGTGATCCAAGGTGAGTCTTGTCACTCTCCAGAACTTTGAAACAGATTATTATAGTGAAGTCTAAGAGACTGCTGTGATAATTGTGCAGGGAAATGAGAATTTATTTTAACCCATAAAGCCCGAGTGCTAGCATAGCTGAGGTAACTTCTACATCAAGAAATCATAGCGTGTTAGGAGAATGTGCCTGATGGTTCCTTTCTTGGAGGCTAAAAATGGTAGACTAAGGAGGGAGTGAGTTTTGATTTATAGCTTGTATATCTCCAGTAAGGAAGCAAACCACAGCCAGTGTGATCTCATGAGTTACCCATATAAAGATTTGTGACGTTTCCTGAGAATGATGAATGGCATAGTATTAAGTGTTTATTCCCCCTTTTTAACATGTTTTATAAATATTATGTTTCAAATGCCTCTGAGAAAGATCACACCTCCCTGAGAACATATTTCTGCCCTCAGTCAGGACATACTTAACTCCTATTCCAGCACCGTCATTCAAGTGATAAATTGCCATCATTGCTGTAGTGATGGGAGACTTCAGACAGAGCAAATATGTAAAGGTGTATTCTCCACAGTATTTATCTCTCCCAGAAGGAAAGGATGTTTCGTAAGAGAATGTAAATTTCTGACAGGAAGAGAAAAGTTCTATCCAAAGGGCTCTGCATTTATTTTTCAGGCAGAATTTCAATGGCTGGTGTTTTTTCACACTATAGTGTGATACCCAGTGAAATTTATATATCAGATTAATTTCTTCCAGGGTTATTCCCACATAAGAAATAGACAGAGGCAGTCTAATGTTACTTTTCCTTATTGAGCCCTCAGCCTTGAGAGATGTGATTGAGTTCCCTACCTAATGTGTAATGAATGCAGAGTTTTGATCTTCAGCGAGAATAGTTTAGCTTGCAAAGGCTGATGAGGTCACTGTCTCGAGATGTCTGTCCCCCTCATTAATCAACTTTGGTACAGCAATATTTTCAAGTACTATGCTTTAAGGCAAAACAAAGTAATTGACAGTTTCTTCTATAGTGTGAACTGCTGCAACTCAGAAGTAATCAACAAAAGTCTTTGACCTCTATGGAGAACATGTGGTGACCCTGTCCATTGTCCCAGTTCCAGTGTTCCCATCTGACTATCAGAGCTTTAGGAATTTACAGGCTGCAACTCACTTCTGTGTGGAGTAGGCTGAACTTCATAATCATTGCTGCTGATTAGAATACTTTGTATAAAAAAAAAAAAACCCAAACCCCATATTCATTGAAGTAGGTGAGAAGTGGACCAAGTCTCCCAGATGTGAACCTCAAACATGAGACTGTAAAGTTGTTCTCTCTTCCAGTCTGGTCTAGTGAACATTTGAAGAATTTAAATATGTCATAGGTCATTTAATCTGAGAAACTCTGCTCACTTAAAAAAATTGTTGTGTATAGCTACCAATCATTGGGGAACTGAGGATTCCTCCCCCGCTCCATTTCAGTAGTAATTTGAATTGGAATGTAAAGTCTGAATCAGCCTGTTAGAAGGCAGAAAGTGCATAACATCTCAGATTCCCACGTTAAGAGCAAAATGTTACTCTTTTTCTGAGGACAATCACATTAACAATAGCATCGAGGTGCTAGTACCAAGTTGCAAAGGTAAATACAGAGTCGTTAAAGCAATATGTTTAAGAGCCTCAAACTAATAAGGTAGCAAAGTACAAGACTTACTACACTCACCACAAGCTGATTCATCAGACTTGTCAGAGCAGTCAGGTCTAAAATCACACTTCTGGATCATCTGGATGCAATGACCAGAGTCTCTACAGACAAACTCCTTCTCTGTGCAGTTGTTCATGGGGAGTGTGGCAGGAACTGAAGTTCCTGAAGTAGTTGTAGAGATTGTTGGTAAGTTTCCTTTGAAAAACAAACCAACAAAATGTTGAGCAATGGGACCAAGCAATTCTAGTGTTGTGATGATTTCTCCCCTTGTCACTCCCACCCTTTGTCATGGGTATAGCTTTACTGGAAACATGAATGACTTAAATGCTGCCCAGCAGGAACTGAACTGAACATTTCCTCAGTAGAAAGCACCAGGTTGGTCATGCTAGCTAGCCAACCACCATTTGCACAAACTTCAACACTTGCAGGAATTTATTTACGCCTCTTACCTGTCTTTCAAATTTGGATTAACTCAGTGAGTCATTTCAAAAAACTAATGCCATGGAGACTGACAGAACAATCACAAAAACTTAATTTCCCTGTGAACCAAGGCTAACATTATTCTGATGATAATGCCTTTTTTTTTTTTAATGTTGATTACTGCAAGTGACTGTGGAAATTACTACGTAACCTTCTTACCTTGTAACTTCATTGCTGAAAAAAATATTTTTTTCTCATTAGAAAAATTATTCTGAGGTCATCATCTTGTTCTACCACTTTCTTTATGTTTCATTCAAACTCGTTACCACTTCTTTCAAATCAATTGTCTTTGCCTTTCCTCCTATTCTTTACTATGTACCTTTCTTCAAGCTTACTCCCATTTCTGGAAAACCTTTGCTATTATTGTCCATAAAAGGAATTTTCATTATATAACTCCTTCTTCAAATTTAATCATTAATGAAATTGTTAGCTGTAGTGCACAATGCACCTGCGCAACACACCTGAGTTAATTAAAATTTACATGTGAAGTCTTTTTATATAAAATGTATCTGGGACAGCAAGGAATTTTTTTTTCCCCTGAAGCCTGGAGCACTAAGACTGATAATAAATTCCCCACGAGCATGAGCCATGTCTATTTTGTAAGGTAGAAAGCACATCTATGATATCAAATGAATTATACTCCAATCAAATGAATGATAGTCCCTTAATATCCTAAGACTCAAAAAAAGACTTAGGGGTAGGAATCTTTTGAGGGAATAATTGCATAATATAATAAATGTATCTACAACTCATAACAATAGCAAGGACCTTATGGGTCAGAAATTTTTTAATATAAATGTCACATTCAAGTCTCTGTTCCTAATCCACTGGAACAGGAGAAGAAATTTTGAAGTACCATAACCTTCACAGCACCTGAAAAAAAAGGAGAACCTGCTCTTTTCTCTCTCAAAATAATTAATTTTCTATAATTTATGAAATACCATTTGGTCCAGAGCAAGCATCATTGAATAGCCTTTGGTTAGGGGCATTCAAATGATGCATCAAAGCAGTATGCTCAAGTTTCAACATCTTTAATATTACTTATGAGGGACTTTAGCATCCAGCTATCAAGCCCATCTCTCCCTGGTTGGTATTTGGTTATTCAAAGTGGAGCCAGAGCAACTGGGCAGCTGGTGCTTAATTCTAGGGTGCAGGGACATGGGAGCCCCGTTCTTTTTCCCTGATCCAACTTACATTAAATATGGTGGAATATGCCATGGCTATTGACTATTTTGTAGACTATTCCCACAGTCTCTTTGACTCTTTCTCGGTTGTTGCAATTTTTTTTTATCTTATGGAGGAAGTAAAATAGAGGCAGGACCCTGGAGTGTCTTAAAAATTGCTCTCAATACTAAAAGTATTTCAGAAATGTACAGAACACAAAAACTGTTTCCTATCCAGCTCTGTCCACCATTACACGTGAGTATTTTTGTTTTATCTTTCCACACAAAATGAGCTTTTTTTTTTTTTCTTATTTATGAACTTTTTTCCTTATTTATGAACTTTGAAACTCTGACTTATTAGGGGGAGGCAGAAGGGAGGGAGGGGGAAGAATTATTGGGGGGAGACAGAAGGCTGCATCAAACTGAGTTTGCTGAATGAAAGATCAGTTTGTTTACACACAGTTTCTTTTTACTTCTAGGAATCAAGACGTCAGAGTTTGGAAGCCTCACACTTCTTACTGAGGGTCTCTTTTGGACCTTATATGCACAGCAGAAGCTACTTTGTGCTGATACCTGCATATGAGGGCCTGAGAAGCAGGGAAACAAATCTGGGTTTCCTTGTCAGGCGTGAGTCACAGTTTGATCTGGATTTTGCTTTTCCAGTAGCAATATTTACAAATGATAGCAAAGAAGCAGCTCACAGCTAGGAGATGTACATTTTAACTATTTTCTTACCATTATAAAGAGTACAGCCTAGAAAAGACATGTCATCAAGTCCAATGTCTCCAGTGAAACCATCTCCTACAGTACCTTTCACCAAGATCTAGGGAAACAAGAATTACAAAAGCATTTTTCAGTATATAGTAGACTTCCACTTCTCATTAAATATTTCATATCAATTGATGGAGGAATCATTTACCACGTTTCACACTTAAAATGAGATTAAATTTGTTCTAGGGGATATATTTTAGTAACACTTTACAAAAGAGACTAATTATTATCAGCTTTCACTGGTGGTCACATTAATCACAGTGAACCGTAACAGAATGGTTGGCTTCACAATCGTGTAAATCCACTGAAACATCATCACTGTGATATAAAATGATGGCCAGACATTATCATAACTGGCACATTATGATTAGCTCCTTTGGTACTTATTGTAATAACATTAATCATGATTAATTATGATAACATTCGTGTTAATAAATTATATACCCTTATATAAAATCCACTGTGGTGAAAACAATTAAGCAGGTTAGAGATGTGCTATGGAACTTTTTAAAGAAAAATATTCTACTATTTCATTAGAGTTGCCAATGTTGTATACGCTTATTTGCTTGTTATTATCTACTGCCAAGGAATGGGAGAGGTTAGTGTATGTGGAATACTCTCTAGGTGACTGAATAAGCCTCTTTTCTTCTGACTGTTGCCGAATGGTAAAAATCCAAGCAGGTGATCAGAGAAAGATTTAGTAAGAATTTTCTTAATTTAAACTAATTTAGAAATCCTTAGTCATTAGAACAATAAAACCTCTTCAAACCATACATTTTTTAAAAGATAAATAAATGTTTTGCTGATCCAATGGAGTTCAAATATTAAAGCTATTCCTTTGCCATTTTTTAAAAATACTTATGTCACATCTTACACGTACATTCACACACACACACATTCAAGCTTCCAGATTATTCTGGAATGCTGCATAAAATTTCAAATACATTTTTCACCATTTGTTCCTCAGTTCAATAGACAATTCCTACAAAGGAATGAAGTATAAATAGTGGCAAAAATAGAGCAACACTGCTTTAAAGTACTGTTAGTTCTAATATTTTTGTGGTAATTTACTTATTTACAATTTTATTGGCAAAGAAATCTTATTTTCAAGTAATGAAGCACTGCTCAGAGATGCTGGGCACTTCTGTGTAGACAGGTGTCTCAATTCTTTTGACCAAATATCACTGATATCTTGGAAATGTCCTCACATCAAATATAATTTAAAAAATATATGCTTGAATTTTACATTTCAGTATTTCTTTTGTCCTATAGTAGATGACTTACACAGTCATTACTAAGACAAACGCAAGCCCCTTCAAAACTACACTATTTTTCTGTGGGATTGTGCTGTGCTCTGACGGATGTTAACCTGTAGGTTGGGGGGCTTCTCTCCTGCCCCTTAAGAAAGAATACTTTTATTAAGGGCAGAAAAACCTCCAAAGATAGAAGTGGCAGGACACAGTTCTGCAGGAGTAATTCAATTCCGAATACCTCTTTATTGTTATGATGATGACTATGATTGTATTACTTAAAATATCCCCACCCAAGTTATTTTTATTTATTTAATTATTTATTTATGTACTTACCTGGGGAGTCTGACACTTTGTCACAGAGCATAAACTTATTAAGTTACAGAAAAAGAAAGTACAGAAAATGTAACAGAGGTGTAGGTATATGTTCTGATAGACTTAAAACTGAAAATAGGACCAATTTATCAGTTAGCGCTGCAGCATAAAACAGTCTCTCTGCAGCTGTGGTTAAACATTGACCACTTTAATTAATTTGCCAACTGAAAATCTGCAAACTTCATAAGCTATTATTAAACAACCTCCAGGGAACTCATCTACCATGAAGCTCATTTCACATCTCATTTATTATTTGAATGAGGATAAATAGTTCCCAATTTCTCCAGTTTTCAGAACTCTAGAGAACCAGTCTGAATGAAATCTATAAAGGTAACAAAAGGCATGCTACATAAAAAAGGGGGGAAAAAACCTCCATGAAAAGCAAAATGTGTTAGAATGACATTCCATATACAGAAAAAGGATTGATCCCTTAAGATTTTGAACAAAATAGGTTTTTGAAGGGTGAAGGAACATTATGACAAATGTTAACAGAGGTATTACAACGGGTATTACTGTTCTGTACAAATGTTCCATTTTTACAGTAATGCTCATTTCTGTCACTGGCCAGTTCCCACTGAAGGTTAGCAAAATAAAATCTTAATTTCCATAAAAGCATAGTTTAAGCTAGAATGGAATTGATTCCAAGAACTGTGAGGTGTTCAAAATTCTGAAATCTTCTGAATGTCTAGAAAATACTGATATTAGTTCTAATGTATTTACCTAGTAATAGAGCCAAACAATATCTCAGGTTTGTCACAGGAAGTATAAACTGTGTTACTTAACAATTTTTTTAGTAGTCAGAGCATGCTAATTTTGACTAGGTTTGCTATGATTATTTCTGGCAAGAAACCATGTGATTTGTTTTGAAGAGGAAAGAACAACCACACAAGTGGATAACAGTACAAATAACTGACAGAACACTGCCATCAAAAACTTTTGTCATAACTTACTGAAAGCAAATGCAGGATTGAAAGTCATATACATTTCACTGCCTATCTCTGAAGTAAACTACTCCTATATTTTAATGCTATGTATAAATAAAGGAAAATGTCTCATAACTTTTTATCATGAAAAGCAACCAATTTCCTATGAGATGATGGAACTTTTGTAATTACAGATAAAGGATAAGCCATAGAACCATGAACTATGTGAAATCTGTATCAAAATTCCTTGCTTCAAAACTCCTTTTTATCAAGATATCTTCATCCAACAATCATGTCACAATAAGTCTTCACTGTAGGACGATTTTTTCAAGAACACATGAACATATTCCTATAATGATATCCCAAGAAGTACACAAAAAAACCAAAACTATTTACCAAGCAAACACATTTTTTTCAGAAAAGTTGTAATTTAAAAAAAAAAAACCTGATAAATTTAGATTTAATTTTGACTTCTTGAGTTACTAGTTCATGTCAAAGAATACTTATTGACGTCTTTGATAAGTGAGTCCAAACATGGTAATTTATTCCTCCCTGGTTTTATTTCTCTGCTTCCTTAGCTGCCATCAAAGGAGTTGTCACTGTGCGACCTAAGACTATTTGCCAAATCTGTCGTCTAGGCATCCAGTAGTTGCATCCTGACTACATGGCACTGAACTTTTCCTCTGTACCTTTCGCACCATTGTTTCTCTTGGGAAAAAAAACAGGTGTACTGGCAGAAGGGGTGCCACAGCATGTTCCAGCTTTCCCTCTCATGTGGGGAATGACTAGGCAATCAGGGCTACTATGCATAGTGTGGAGCCCTTCTGCCCCTAAAAGCAAGCACAAGTGGAGACAGCCCATCAGCTGCTGGAAAGATTATCAACATTAGGTCACCACAACATTTTAACGATACACTTAGAAAAGCTCAAGATTCCACTGCTCATCTTCAAAGCCCATCAGCCCCTTTCTTTTGCGTCCATCAAAAATACATTAGACGTTAATGTCTCAAGACTTCAAGAGTTGAAATGAAGTCCTTTCATACAGGTGTTCAAATGAATTCTTACCAATGATCATAAGGACATACACATCAAATATGAAAAATCTTGTGTCAAATATTTGATGTTTACAGTGCTTGGTTTTACAAGATACTGAAACCCACTATTTCTAGTTCAGTAAAGGACTTGAACACACTTCACTATAAGATTGTGAACCCTCATGCTGATTTATGATGTTTTTCCAAGCATTTCTCTAAAATGCAGGGAAGAATCACATTTCTATCCTGCTTTAGACTCTTCATTGATGTCAGTAGGGCTGCTGACAAGCATAATATTAATAATGGTTTACATATTCTGGGCATCAGTACTTTGCTGTATTAAGGCCACAAAACTTCACTCAAGAGAAAAGATCCTGTTTTCATTCTCTAATATTAATGTTGGAAGAATTATTGCAGAAGTATATAGTCACTGCCTAAAAATTTCTAAGATTCTAGCTTTATAAAACAACATGGTTAGCCTGCCCGCTTGGGAAACATCTATCTAGTAATTATAATGATAAAGCCTATATTTAATCCAATTTAAGGTCATGGTTAGCTTCAACTTCATCTGTAAAGATTTACAGAAGCATCCTCTATTTCACAAGATTATGGCAGAATGAAATTTTTCAAAAGCATCCCAGATGGTAAATACAAAGTGTTAAAAAAACATACTCAAACCCACAAAAAACACAGTAAAATAGACAAAATGCCAATGGACAAAATGCACTTCAAATCTGAAGATATTTTTCAGTCTCAAAATTAATTTAATTTCTATTCAGTTGGCTACATGGGCCCCAAAATGTATATATATCTTGAAGCAATTCTACTTTTTGTAATAGTAAAAAAGTAAATGTTTTCTTTTCCTAAAGAGGATGGATGATGTTATTTTTTAAAATTACTTAAAAATCATTAAGTAATGAAAATACTTAACAGATAAGGATATGCTCACAGACAATACTAGAACATCCATGGTTAACTGGGCAAGGCCAAATCTAGTCCAAAATAATCCCCCAAAGATACTGTAAATTTTCTCCCGCATACAAGGTACAAGTCCTGTTAGTAGTCCTCTATAAATTTAGGGTTTTTTTTCTGAGCATCAGTCATTTCTGATAGTCTTGTGGTTAATTATGCAGACAGTGTAAGGATCCAAAGGGTGGATCTAACTGATAGGCTGTTTCGACAAGGATACATACAAGCGAAAGTGGGTGAGTTGTAGTATGGGAATAGCCAAGCAATGGCAAGTCTGATGATGTTCTTCCATGATCAGCTTTTAATGAGTCTAATCATGTTAAGGTACCCTGAATTACTTTCAGATGGAATCTCCTCACCACTCCTTCACCATAAGTGTGTTTTTTCTGCTAGGGTCATCTTCCATGACAGGCGTATGCAGGTTCAGACACACATATTCACTTACACGTTACATAGATTCTTTCTTTCTCCCAACCACTGTTTTCCCAGATCTTAAAATTAA